TATGAGAAGAAAGAAAAGCACTATAGCATTGCATAAGGAAAAGTCCCTTGGAAAGTATATAATCTTAATAGGTAAATTCCAAGATGAAAGAATGTCATATGTATCTTGGAAATTACCAACATCTTCCCCTTAAATTTATTACGACGGACTATAACGATCTGGTGGCTTACGAATTCGAGTAGGGTACCTTGGAGATGATAAATTGAAAGATTGCACAGTTGTTGATGGTGACTTTGTGTCTAATGTATCATCAGGTAGAATGTCGATCTCGAATGAATTCACATCTGTAGTACAGCGAGGGCGGAGCTGGTTTTGATGTCGTTTGTGGTGTTGTCCATCAGATGATTTGACTTTGTATACCGTTGAACCAAGAATTTTTGTGATGGTTGCCGATTCCCATTGTCGTTGCTTGCTGGGTTTGTAAATCAATGTCCAGACTGCGTCTCCAATCTTAAACTTTGTCTTTTGTTCCGATAAGGTTGACTTATGGGGTTTCATCATATCTAATTCAGTCCGAATTGAATGTTTAAACATCATACTTGCAGGAGAAACACCTGTTGATGTATGTGGTGTCCAACGATAATTTCTTAATACGTTTCTCAATGCTGTAGATCTGTTTGTTACTCCAGATTGTTGTTGTTTAAGCATAGCTTCTTTAAAAGAACGAACAAATCTTTCTGCAATTCCATTACTAGCTGGATGATAAGGTGGTGAAGTTATATGATCAATCCCATATGTCATATAAAATTTAACCATTTCATTACTGTTGAATGGTGGACCGTTATCTGATACCAATGATGCTGGAGGACCAAACCAGTCAATAATTTGTTCTAATACATTACATAAATTCTTCGCTGTTGTGTCATTGTTCATATCTACGACAATTGGGAACTTTGATTTTGCATCAATGAGTATAAGCCATTTAGAATCCCAAATTGGACCAGCGAAATCAATATGAACTCTTGACCATACATGTTCTGGTTCTTTCCACGATTTGAATTCTTGTTTTGGTAAGGGTTGTAATTTCTCACAAGTTGAACAAGATTTTATAATGTTTACAATGTCACTATTTATACCTGGCCACCAGCAATGTGATCGTGCCAGTTGTTTCATCTTAACCGTACCAAGGTGACTACGATGTAGTAAGTGTAGTACTCGTCGTTGTAGTACTTTTGGAATAACCAATTGGGTGTCTCTTAAGAGACAGCCATTTACAACTGATAATGAATGTCGGCTAGTATAGTATGGAATAAGTTCAGGTTCTTTTGCCTTGGATATTGAAGGAGGCCATTTTGTTAGTGTAAATCGTTTTACTATTCGAAGTATTCGATCACTGTTAGTTGCTGATACAATTTCAGTAGCACGAATCGGCCATTCTTTTATAAGTTTTGTTTGAATACAATTAATATGTATAGCATCTTTATCCACAAATGATTTATCAGGACCAACGGGAAGTCTTGATAATGCATCTGCATTTGCATGACAAATTGTAGGCTTATAACGGATCTTGTAATTATACCCCATTAAACATATAGCCCAACGTTGAAGTCTGTTTGCTGTTGAAACAGGTATACCTTTTGTTGGATTGAAGATTGCTAATAGGGGTTGATGATCAGTATTTAATTCAAATAAACGACCAGCTAAATATTGATGAAATTTTTTAATTCCATATATAATTGAGAGTGCTTCTTTTTCAATTTGACTATAATTCTTTTCTGAGATGGTTAATGTTTTAGAAGCATGTGCAATAGGTCGTTCCGATCCATCAGGATATCTATGCATAATTACGGCTCCTAGTCCATAACTTGAAGCATCTGTTGCCAATATAAGTGGTAATTTTGGATCAAAATGAACTAATGTTGTAGCTTTTGCTATTTCTTGACGAAGACTATCGTAAGCTTTTTGGCATTCTTGGTTCCAATTCCATTTAACATTTGCTCGTCGTAAAGCATTTAATGGTTTACATTTGTCTGAAAAATTTGATAGAAATTTTCCATAATAATTTACTTTACCAATGAATGCTTCGACTTCTTTAACATTTTTTGGTATGGGCATATGAGCAATAGCTTCAACTCGTTTTGGATCTGGTCGTTTGCCATTCTTGTCGATGATAAAACCAAGATAAGAAACTTCATTTTTAAGAAATGAACATTTGTCGGGATTACATTTGAAACCAAATTCCGAAAGTTTCAATAATACCATTTCAAGTGTTTGAAAATGTTCATCATCATTTGCACCTGTAATCAGGATATCGTCCAAATAAGCTATACAATTTGGGATACCAGCAATAACTTGATCCATTGTTCTTTGAAATATTGCTGGTGCGTTCGAAATACCGAAGGGCATACGGTTATATTGAAATAAGCCTAGTGGTGTATTTATAACTACAAACTTCTTACTTTCATCGTCCAGCTCGACTTGAAGATATGCATCAGACAGATCCAACTTGGTGAATCTTTTACCGTTATTGAGATGTGTCAAGAGTTCATCGATCGATGGAATCGGATGTTGATCAACTAGAATTTCTGGATTAATTGTAACTTTAAAATCTCCACATATACGAATTTTTCCATTTGGTTTTTTTACCGGTACAATTGGTGCTGCCCAGGCAGAAGTATCTATTCTTTGAAGAATACCAGCTTTAATATTGCGTTGAATTTCTTCCTTGATGCCATTTAGATATGCAAAAGGAAGTGGTCGTGGCTTGAAGAATTTTGGAGTTGCTTCGGATTTGATTTGAATGTGTGCCTTTACTTTAGTGCAATGCCCAAGCTCCTTGCTCAACACGTTTGCGTATTTACGTAATAACATTTCGAGTCTAGGCTGATCATAGATTTTGTGAATAGGACGTGTAAATTTACTTTCAAGATCATACGATATATGTTTTCCACTGTTTTTTGTTACCATAAGAGCATCTAATATTCGAGTATTAAGATGTAAGATGTTGATCCAATTACGACCAATAATGTTACTTGAAGTTTCATTACCAACTACCAGTGGTAATTGAAAACATTGACCATCGTAATTCACCTTGACCATCTTTTTACCTTTAAGACGGACAGGATGCCCTGTAAAACTACTATAGATGGATTGAATTGGACGTAATTTTGGTTCTCCCAGTGTTCTCCAAACATGTTCACTTATAATCGTTATAGGCGAACCTGTATCTAACTCGAAATTAACTTGTATATCATCAACTGTAATTTGAATTCGTATTGGATGATCATCAGCACCTGCTGCTTGTGATACTAACGATATAGTATTAACTTTAAACTTGCTTGAAGTTGATTTGGACATGCAAGCCTTGGCAATATGTCCTTCTCTGTTGCATTTGTAACAGGTACTGTTACGAAAACGACAAACTGATCGTGCATGTCCACTAGAACCACAACTTAAACAAGTTTCTTTTTTATCAATATTTGCACGTTGTGCAGCTTTGTTATTAATCTTATTGACACTAAATTCTTCGGATAAAGTACTTCTGACTTGTGAACTCTCAAGTAAAACAGATTCAATTGTTTTAGCTGCATTGATTGTTTCTTCAAAAGTTGTTAAATTTCGTTGCATTAGGTGTCTGTGAACTTGATCGTTTTGCAGACCACCAACAAATGCAGTTATCAATGCCTGTTCATAGAAATCCGACGGAAATTGACATGTTGTTACCTTATCACGTAAATCATTTGCAAAATCTGTAAGGCTTTGATGAGATTGTTGACGTGATGCGAAAAATTTTATACGTTCAGTAGATGGAAAGGTTACGCGTGCATAATTTGATCGTAATTTTCCAATCAACTCTTTGTAAGTATATTCGGTCGGTTTATTTGGTTTGCAAATCGAAATTAATGTCTTGAAAGGTTGAACACCAAGTGCGTTAATTAATAAATTTCTTTTCTTTGTGTCGTCCTCGATACCTTCAACTTCAAGAAAGGTGTCGAACCGAATTTCCCATTCCTCCCAATCATAAGAAGTAGGATCGAATTCATGAAGACGATTTGTAGTTGGTCGTAAATTTTGCTCCATTATTATACTGTAATTGACCACCTGATAATTTACTTGTAGTAAGTAGTTTGGCTTTTCTCAATAGAATCCCAAAGTAAACAGTCTCGTCGCCAATGTAAGTTTGTGGTACTTATATAAATGAACGTATGAACCTGAATGTGAGTTCTGGTTTATTTGAGATAATAAAGAGAAGAAAACAACTATTGAAAGACAACAGAGAAGAATCACTATTACACCTATATGAATAAATACGCATATCTATATATACGTATAGAAAAGGAAAGATCCATATAACACTATGTATATACAGATATGAGAAGAAAGAAAAGCACTATAGCATTGCATAAGGAAAAGTCCCTTGGAAAGTATATAATCTTAATAGGTAAATTCCAAGATGAAAGAATGTCATATGTATCTTGGAAATTACCAACA